CCTCCCTCCATCACTCTTCCTCCCTCCCTCACTCCCTTCCTTCCTTCCTTCCTTTCCTCCCTCCGTCCCTTTGTTATGTGCTCGACTGGTTCACAATCCAAAACCACATTCAAATGTTCCCATATACATCTGCAGTGACAGGCAGACCGGGGAGAGCAGATTCACACCATAGCCATGAAGATTGCACAGCGGAAGCCAAATACAGGTACAAAATTGAGAGAAAATGTTTTCAATCAATTATTTATTAATCCCCCTGCTCTCCTCCCACTCAATCGAGTACCATCTTGAGTCTCAACCACGAATGAATTTCCCCCTTCGATCAACCCCCAAACAGAATCCCCAATGAAGTATCAATAATAGTCTCCACCCTCCCAATCCACTCACGAACACAGGTCTGACGCTCAACTCTCTCAACAGCAGCAGCGCCCATTCACCTAGTGCCTGTCAGTGATAGGCGCTGATCTGGCAAGAGCCAGATACTTATGCAGCAGCGCCCTGAACCACCATGAAGAAGAAGATGAGCTCCACGAAGATGGCTGCCTGCGCTATGGCAGCAACCACACAGCAAAGGCCACTCGATGAAGCAGCGGCCAGCTTCAAACCTCCAAAACAGCACCGTGATGAAGAGGAATACCAGCGCCAGGGAGACTTCTACCAGCGCGGCCTTCAAAGGACAGGCCAGCTCCAGCTATGGCCGCATGTGCCTGAAGAAGACGATGATGCTGAACGCTGGAAATAGAGCAGGCCAATAATCCTCATCGCAACCGCACGACTAAATTTCCAGACTTGACAAGTTCCTTCTGGGTAAACCACAGATCCTCTATGTGAGGTGGGAAGCGGAACTTCACAAGGTATGTGCAGTTGGGGCCTGTGGCCCACTGATCCTCTATGCTCTCCACTTTATATCCCTTTCTAGGGATAAGAGGTCCAAATTGCAGTGTTCTTCCAGGGAATGCATCAGCAGGAGTGGAAAGGCATCAGTTGCAAGGCATGGAATACTGGATACAGTGGATAGGTCCTGATATGAGGGGGTACAACAAGCACATAGGAAGGTCCAAATGGATTTCACCCCACAGTATTGACCACCTACCATGGGTCATAGTATACAGGCAACCAAATGTCTTGCTCGTCAGTTAGTTCAGATCTTTTCACTCAGACCCAGTGACCTGCCTGTATAGTAGAGGGAGAACGATGCTCGTTAGCCTATTCGATCATCCTCTTCTGGGCCTTAAACATGTTAGTTCTAGCCTTCTCTAGGTCTTTCTCATAACTCTTGGTGAATTCTGCAGTCCCAGGAGTTAGTTTAGGCTTAGCCTTGTCAATGAGATGATCAAAAGGTTGTCAAGGCTCTCTGGCCAAGTGTAGCCTATATGGTGTAAAGAATGTAGTGTTGTGAACACACGTGTTATACATCAGTTGTCTGTGACAAATGTTTGTCCCAGTCCTACTGATCAGGTGTGATCATAGGACTGAAACAAGACTTGGTTTATCACTTCAACTTGTCCATTGGCTTCAGGATGTCTACCAAGGTCATGTCTAGCCTAGAAAGAAGGTAGTCTTTGGGTAAAGGCTGTTATTCATCGCTGCAAAATCTAGGGTCTCTGTCACTAACAATAGAGGTTTGGCACCCGTGGACATTAACCCACCTCTCAGCAAACAAATCTTTGTGCAAAGGTACTCAGGCCTTAGAAGGTAAGGGGATAAACTCAACAAACTTAGACAAATGCTCAGTACAGACCATGACCTATCTCATACCCTAGATGTAGTCTTGTGTAAGGACCTGCCCAAACACGGGTGGAGAACACAACTGCTTTCTGAGTATTGCTGCTCTAGAATGAATGTCGTGCTGAGATTCCCGATTTCTGCTTAGTTTTCTAAGCGTGTGTGTGTGCATGCTGGCTAGGCTGCATGCCAGTCTGAGTGTTTGTCGGCTTGAGTGTGTGTGTGACCCGCAAGGGTACTTGCTTGCTTGGATGGCCCATAGGGCTGGTACTTACCTGTGGCCATGACATTGAGGGTTGCAGCAGGGAAAACACTCAAGTAGCAGGAGTAGGTCTGCGCCACTTAGAGCAGCGGGGAAAAACACTCAAGTAGCTGGTAGGCTGGTACCACTCAAGTAGCAGTAGATGTGTCAGGGACTAGAGGCAAAGCAGAAGAATAGAAAAGTTTGAATTTTTAGAGGCCCAGTAGTTGTAGGTTAGGTCTAGGCGGGTACCAGTCCAAGTAGTCTGAGTCTAGGGCCTGTACGGGCCATATCAGAGTCTGCAATGATGTTTCCCCTCGAAATGGAGTGGCTACCGGTTGCTTGGTTGTCGTGCGACCTGAAAGTCACCGCCCAAGAGGCAAGTTGGCCGCTATATCTCCAAGAGGAGCGAAGTGCTTCTCATTTACTGCATGCAAGTTTGGACGTCGCGCTGCTGGAGTGCTAGAGGAGTAGTGCTAGTGTGCAACGTTGTGTTGGGAAGAACGGTGCCTAACTCCCCACCTTAGCTATGGTGGAGGAGCTCAGGCTGGAGGAGGAGGAAAAAGGGACTAGGAGAGAGGAGCGCCAGGGGTGCTTACCTGGCTATGGTGGACGCCATCTTCATCACCTTGGTGGGCGCTGCATCTGCAAACCCATCGTTGGGGTAGAGTGGCATCAAGAAGCTTCGAGACAGAGTCAGGCATGATGGTCTGAGTAGGAGCAGCCATAGTTGCTTTGTGTTGTCTTTTCTATGTAGGGCAATGCCCTAGTAGTCCGACATAGCCTCGACCTTCATGAAGAGGAAGGAGAAGGGTGGTCATGGCTATGGTGGACCTCATGTTGTGCCTGCAGTAGAAGAGGGATTCAAACATTGATTCTGGTTCGGCCATTTATCATCATTAGTATTATTATTATTTATTGTTTGAATAAAGAGGGGAGGAGAAAAGGAGGAGGAGATTGGTTGGCGAGAGGAATGGGAATTATCATTGGTCTTCGATGTTGTACATCTTTTTCATCTTCTTTCTTTCTTCTTCTTCTTCTTCTTTCTCTCTCCATCCTCTTAAGCTCATTCATTTATTTTTGCAATTGGTCGGCATTGTGATTTCCCGTGAATTTGTACTTTGAAATTGGCCAGGATCATGACATTGGTATCAGACAGGATTCTACTTGTTGGCGAGAGTTGACTTTCCCGCTTCAACCCTAACCTAAGTGGAGGGCTACAACTCAGGGTTAGGGCTGGCAAGTTGAGGGAAGTGGGGCACCGTGGTTAAGAGAAGCTGCCCCCACCTGGTTAGGTCGGGTTAGGTCGACACTAGACCTTACCAGGGTGCTTGAGAGTAAGTTTGGGGTGGCGAGACACTTCGAGAAGACCGTGCGATAATTTGTGAGAGGGGACAGGGAGAGGCACTCGCACCTGGAATCTGACCTAAGGGAGACACTTGGCAACTTTAGGGCTTCCCAAGCAAGCGAGCTTGAGGGAAGTAGCCATTCTGCATCGACGGACTACAAGTTGCTACTTTGATGTTCAGCATTGGTGGATGATCCAGTGTTGCACTTTGGTGTTGGAGTCAGACCCTCATAGTAGATATGACACTAGTGTAGGGGTAGCGCTAAAGGGGTCAGGAGGACCATAGGAAAGGGGGTTGAGTTCTACTTCATCTCAAAGCTCTGACCACCCTGGTAATTGTTGTGTGCCTATGAGATCCCCATGTGTGTGTGTGCATGGTAGTGATTGTCCTGCTGGGATAACACTGGGTTTCTTTTCCTACTTCTTTGTGGTCTTGATTGTCCGTTTGGGTATGCAAACTACTTTCTCACCTGATGGATAGAGAGACGAAGTATCTTGCTCTG